TGGGTTGAGTTCTGAGCCAAGGTCTTGTTCTAAGGTCTCAGTTGCGACTTCTTCAGTTGTGTGAGTCACGTTATCTTCTTGTTCTTCTGCATTCAATGCCAAAAGACATGTGTTTATAAGTTTTCTATTGCTCAATTTTTCTCCTATATTTCTCCATAATATTGGTACAATAATTCTACACCAGTGACGATTTACAAGAAGGCATGAATATAAAGTTTTAGAATCATCCTTGAAGTTATTAAATATTATAAGAAGGCATTCGTTCGGTAGCTTTATCATTTTAAGGTTATGTTATTAACTATAAAGGCTTACATATATACGCATGTACGTACGTACGTACGTACTGTACATAATTACGTATGTATTTGATATATTTACGGCAAAGTATGTTGTGAAACATTGTAATGATGTAACTAAATTATGTAAATACTACGTATTAGACATTAAACTAAAAACTGACGTCAGATAAAGATTTAAATAATGGATTTCATTCGCGTAAAGGTGAAGCCTGTGTTAGTACAAGAGTAGATGTTAATGGCAATACAATTATTTTGATGTGACGCAAATTTTAAAGTGCAATATAAATAAAAACTAGTGATACGGGCTGACCCGGCCCGCCGGGCGGGCGGTTCGAAGTTGACTCGCACCTTTGTGGGCCGGAATCATGCTCAATTTTTTATAGTTTCAGATTATTATATATTATTGTTATTTTATGAATTTCTTATTTTGGTACAGTTTGTAGTATAGTTGGATGATTGAGACCCCAAGTGAAAGATTGAAACCCATACGAATTAAAGATATATAATGGTGTGGCTTCAGTCTGCGAAGGGAATAATGGTTGTTAGAATGATTGTTAATATAATTAGTATTATTGTAATAATCCGATGTAGGTTGGATCCTTTGAATATCCATCATAGCTATTCAGTAAATATTTGCGGGGTTTTATGTTTACAAACAGCTTTGAATGAATATCCAGAATTTGAATAGATACCCATCTATTATTGTAACCATGAATATTCACACAAATATTTATGCAAATATTTATGAATATAAATGAATCAATTATATTAATTCAAACCTCAACTATCCATGAATTTTGTGTAACCAAATATCGAATATTCAATAAATATCCATCACTAACAATGAATATTCACGGATCCAACCTCTAATCCGATGCTTTGATTTATATTAGTAAAGAGAAACCTTATAACCTATAATTATGAACAAAAAAAAAAAACTCTACCTGACGATCATCGGGCTAGACAACCGCAGCAACCAAAATAACTTCAAAACCGTCAAAAAAGTCGAAACAAACCCCCCCGGAAAGGGCAAACGCCCTTACGCCAAGTAAAAGGAAGTTGACAAGTATAGAAATGGGAAAATCAAAAAACAAAAAAGCCAAAACCCAGGGAACTGGGTCCGAAAAAGAACAAAAAGATAACGTGACTCACACAACTGAAGAAGTCGCAACTGAGACCTTAGAACAAGACCTTGGCTCAGAACTCAACCCA